TAAGCTTTAAAATTGTGTGTGTGTGTGTGTGTGTGTGTGTGTGTATTACATACACATGTGAGTGTACACACCCTTGTGCACACATGTGGAGAACAAAGGATGGCTTCAGGTATCTCCCTTTACTGCTCTCTACCTTCTTCCTTAAAGACAAGGTCTCTCACTGAACTAGAAATTCGCTATTTTGGCTTGGCTGGCTGGCCAGTGATTTTCTGCGCGGTCATTCCCATCTTTTTATGTAGGGGCTGGAGATTCAAATTTGGGTCCTTATGCCAGCATAGCAAGTGCTCTTTCTCAGTGAGCCTTGTCTCCTTTAAAATTCTTAAAAGCGTTTTCCAGTTTGCTATAAAACCTTAATATACATATTTAAATTTGTCAAATACCTAATACAGTAGGCATGACAACCAACTAAAAAATACAGAACTGCTGGCCTGTTAGATAGTAGACCTTGCTCTCATGGGAGTATCTAAAGACTTTCTTCTTCTTCTTCTCAGATACCCATCCCTGCTTCCAAGGAGCAGTCTAGCCTGCTTTTCTGTCCATACACCTCTCGATCCCACTGCCTCCTCCAGCTTCCTTTCCCATACTCCGTGACCAGTTCTCTTACAGGTGATCTTGTTCGTACCTCATCTGATTCCTTATTCATCCCTCACAATGAGGCCTTTTCATCTAGTTTCCCCTCAGCTCTAGCCAGGTGACCACTGCGCCTCATAATACTCCATTCCTCCCTGCCAAAACCGGGGCCCTAGCAGGATCACATTACACGCCATGCTGATGATGTTCCTCCTGCCACTGGTATTTGTCACTTACATGGGCTCAAGCCAAAATGTGGTGTGTCTGTGACACAGGGAAAATATGGATTTTAATCCTTGGTTTTTCACTCTGTCTCTGATAGTAGAGTTCAGCTGACAAGTTTGTGGTTAGGATGCTGGTACAGCTAGATAGTTATGGTTTTAGAAAAAAACTAATGTGATAGCACCTTTGGAACCTGGCTGAGGATGGGGACATCGTATCCACAGCCTGAGACAGATGTGATAAGAGCCTCCTTGGGTTTCTTTGGAAACTTTAATTTTTTTTATGAATATGTATAATGTACATGAATATGAAACCCTATAAAATACATATACCCCTCTTAATTGAGGCTCAGAACTTTGAGACAGGAGTCTCTGGGCCAAGGCTACAGCCTAAATAAACTTGCTTCTGCATCTCCTGGTGTTGTCTTATCTGTCCCATAACATCTGGGCCACATATCCCATGCCCACTTAGCCAGCAAATCCCAACGGCTTCCCCTAGTCAGCCTTGAACTTGTCCATACTTGCCTGCTCCTACTACTTCACTCTGGTTGATAGATACTTTGGTATCAACTATTATACAGTAACCCCATCCCTCCATCTACTCTTGTCCTTTTCTTCCTAACACAGTATCCCAGAGACTTGAAGCTATAAGAGCTGCCACTCAAAGTCTTCTACGAACTTTGTGTTTCTGAAAACAAAAGCCAGCACACTACTATGATTCACTAGGGCTCTTCCCATACCCCAATCTTGTCTTCTGCTCACTATACACACCTCCTTGCTGCTCTGCACTTTGGTTCTTCTTTGCTCCTAATTCACGGGCTGACTCCTGTCTGAGTCAGGACATAGCTGCAAGAAAACCTACCTTCTGCTCTGTGTTGTTCTCTACAGCTCACACTTCTGAGACCTGAAGATATCTTATAATACCTATTTATAATACCTCATTTTGCTTCCATCACTGGGACACAGGCTACCAAGTGTAGGGCCTTCCTCTGCCTTCTTCACTGAGGAGCCCAGGACCTGAGCAGCTCTTGGCACAGGTAGATGTGAGATATACCTCTTCTCCATAATGGATAGGCACATTTGCATGTGGAGGTTCTTCTGGCTATTCCTACCACAATGATCTCTCTAAAAACTCAAAGTGCTCCCTGTTCTAGTCATTCACTGGCTTGCTAGGCCAGTACAACACTGCTTTGCTTTCTTGTTCCTTGACTTGATTTGCTACTAGTTTTTATATGTGAGTCTTGTCTCTTCAACTTTAAGAAAATGTCTGAGCTGGAAGCAAGCATAATAAAGAGTCCTGGGACTCATCACAGCATTCTGTAGGTCTCTCTTCACTTATCCAACTGAAGCCTGTGCACTGCTTCCACCAGGACTGGCTTGTGCTCTATCCTCAGTGTCTGCAGGTTCTGAGGTAAGAATGTGCCTACCAGGACCATATCCCTACACATGGCTTAGGGAAGACTTGAGCACAGTTGGTCCCACATACTATAGTTTGCACTGAGTGGGTACCTGATTAAGATTGAGGAAGTAAACACAAGAACGATCATAATAATAATTTAATATTTCTGCTGTGTCTTAACAATGAGTTTTTAATAAGCTACCAAGATCTTTGAAGGACAGAAAATTTTACCTTTCTACCAAGTCAGTAGAGAAGTTTCTGTAAAGGGAGGAAGAAATGAATTCTTTCAATTCCAAGTAAATGTAGAGAAAGTGGCCCTAAGAATTGATAGCTTAAAGGATGAAAAATCAGATGAATCATGTATTTCTGCATACATTATGAGAAACCCTTTTAAGCTAACCAGAGACACAAGAAGCCCTTTTTCTTTTGAGAGTCTATTCTTCTAGGTCCTATGAGCATTATTTATATTCTGATCCATAGAAAGTCCTTGAGGAGATATAGTACTTACTGGGTGACATCATACAATGTTCTGAGAACATCTTCAGAGCACTCTTTAGTCTCTTGGTGTCCTGCAGAAGCAGCAGAGTTTTCATGTGATCCAGAACGAGCACATCTGAGGGAGGCATGCTGTGAGACCCAAGGAGGTGAAGTAGCTCCTCAGTAGCTTCCATACATACAGCTGAATCTGAGTCCGTAGAAATACCTGGAAGAAGTCACACAGAGATAGGGTCTTAGTTTCAAGATAAGCTTTCAAGTGCACATTGCACTTGGAGTGGTATGTATGGAATATACATAACAAGCTCTCAGGAGAGAACTGGAGATCTCTGAAAAGAAAGACAATGAAGTGCCACTATTTTAACAACACTGGAAAGCTCGTCTGATTATATGTCTGATCTTTTAAACACCTTCCAAGCTCAACATGTGATTCAGAATCACAGACAGCAGCAGAAATCAGACAAGAAAACTGTGCTCATAGTCACACCATAAATCTTTGAAAAACAAAGCAAAATAGTAAGACTGCTGGTTGTTTTGGACAAATCAAGGAAACCCACTTAAGAGGCCAGCTTTGCTTGTTCTACTGAAGGTCTAGACATTGCTCTTGGAAAGATAAGGTGTTTTCTCTCTGGCTGCTTTGAAATCTCCAGTTTATTTACTTATTGTTTGGTTAGCATACAAACAAATGAATTTCACTGTGACATTTTCATCCACGTACCTGTTCTTCTTGGTTGTACTGAGGCCCCCTCCCACTCGTGCTGATCCCTAGCTAGTCCTACCTTCTTTCATAGCTATTCCACACCCTCTGTTTCTCTCTCTGCACTCCTTTTAGACCTCTTCCTCCATCTCATAGTATCCTTTCTATTTCCATGCCCCAACCCTCCCTGTCCTGCAAAGGTCATAGTTTCATTTGTTCCACAGCTGAATAAAACTCCATTGTGTACATGTACCATATTTTCCTTATCAATGTCAGATTTTTGTCACTGGCTTTTTGCAGTCTGATGTGTTTACATATGATGCTTTCTGTATTAGTTCTGCCAGAGTCTGCAGAACATGAACCTATGACTCTGCCCTTTATCATTCTGAAAAGCCCCACTACCATCTCTAGAAATCTCCTGTTCTGTCCTCCTTTTTCTACCTGTACTCTAGCCATGTGAGTATCAGACCTTCTGTTGTGCCTGTGTTGGTTGGGCTCTTTTATGTATCTTTTACCCTTTTTTGACTCTTCATCCTTAGGACTTTCTTTGACTAATCAGAACTGCTCTTTATGCTGAATCTAAGCTACTGTTTCAACTCATCTTTTATGTTCTGAACTTCAGTTATATTTCTCAGATCTTGAATTTCCATTTGATTGCTGTAATATTCTTAGTCTTTTCTTTTCCTTGAATATCTTATTGCTGTTATTTTAAGTCTGTGTCTGAGAGCACTGACATATCCTGTTCCTGCACATGCTTTAGCTGTTTTCAGTGTGCTTTGTCCTGTATTTGTTTTTGAGGGGGGGCATACTTGGTAAACGTTCACTCAATGTGCATAAATTATATGGGTCTTGGAAAAGATATCTTCCTCAAGAGGGATCCTCCCTTTTGCTCTGCTAGTCATAGTGGGGTAAGTAGGACATTCAAGGGCCAAGACTAAAACAAGGTAGGCTGTACACATGGCAAATGCTCACTGTCTTAGTTTACTTTCTGTTGCTGTGATAAATGCCAACCAAAACCAACTTGAAGATGGAAGGGTTTACTTCATCTTGTACCTCCAAGGCATAACCCATCTTTGAGGGAATTCAGACAAGAACTTGAGGCCCGAACTGAAACAGAGACCATGGAGAAATGTTCTTACTAGCTTGCTCAGCTACTTTTCTTATACAACTTGGGCACACCTGCCCAGGGATGGCAAGACCCAAAGTGGGCTCTCACATCAATCATGAATCAAGAAAGTACCCCACAGACATGCCCACAGGCCAATTTGATGGAAGCAATTCCTAACTGAGGTTCCCTCTTTTCAGGTAACACTAATTTGTGTCAAGCTGACAAAAACTAACCAGCATAGTCACATACCTCTGCTCTGCCTTGGTTACAAGGGCGCAGCCCACAGAGCTGTGCTCAAGGAAGGGTGACCCTTGTCTTCTCAGATTCCCAATACTGCCCAAGACCACTGTATCACTGGAGACCTTTTATACAGTTCTTCCCTTCTATACCCAGGTACGGAATTTGGCAAGGCCTCTGAAGGAAACCATCAGAGTACTGGGTTCTATTTCTTGCCAGCCTCTGGACTCTCTACTTGGATAAATATTCTGATGGTCAGTCTGCTTCACGGGGTTCAAATGAGCCCTTTCCTAGACTGTCATCCAAGGTCTCACATGTAGTTACTTTTCTTGTTGCTTTGACAGAGCCTGACAAAAACAAGTAAAGAGAATAAAGATTTGTTCTTGCTTATGACTTAGGAGATACATTCCATCTTGGCAGTGAAGGCACGTGGTGACGGCAGTTTGAAGCTATGGCAGCAAGAATGCAAGGCTGGTCACATTTTACAGGGAAGTTAAGAAGCAGAGAACATGGGCTAGAAACAGGTGTAGGCTGTAACTCATAAGGCCCAGCCTTCAATGACCCATATTTCCAGGTAGGCTCCACCTCCTGAAACAGCTCTACCAGCTGGGGACCACATGTTCAAATGCATGAGCTGGTAGGTACATTTCACATACAAATCATAATAGTATTGTTGCATCACTGTTTAATCAGTTACTTCCCACATTATTATATACTTCTCAGTTGTATTCATAAGAACATGTTAATGTAGGGTTGACATTTGCATCTACTTAATCCACCACCTTCCCCTGGATACCCTAGTATGCCATCCAAATGGGAAAGCAAGCTGTCTGTTAGAGCACCTTGGCTCTTGATTGGCATTTGTGCCTTTTCTTTTCTTTCCTTTCTTTTTTTTTTTTTGGTCTTTTTGAGACAGGGTCTCCCTGTAGTCCCAGCCTGGGACTCACTATGGTGATAGCCCAAAAACTTACTGGCCAATTTATTTTTGTTTTGAATTTTTGCAAACTAAGAAAAAAATGCCAGATCTCCACAATGGGAGTTTAAATTTTAACACTGTTTTGGCCTGTTTGAATTTTAACTTCTTGTATGGTATATTTACTGTTTTTTAAAGATGACTTTTAAGTTTTTACATTGTTTAAAATATTTACAAATTTTTAAAAGGAATTATTTTTAAGTTTTGACATTGTTTACATGACATCTTTACCTAATAGTTAAAAAAAATTTAAAAAATTATTTGGATTTTAACATCTTTTATATGGTATATTTACTGATTTCTAAAAATAGCTATTTTAAATTTTTACTTTTACATAAAATATTTGTCAGTTTCTAAAGAGACCTTAAAGTTTTTCTAGCCATATGCCTTCAAGACTATCCAGATATAAAGGAAACTGACACATTATGATGGCTAGACCCGGGAAGCTCATAGGAATTTCCCATATTCCAGGGCCAAACCTTACGAGAGATAAACTACTACCAACACATTGCTACAACAATGGGAGGTTAATAGCCTACTTGGGTGGGAGGCTTAAGATACGGACTCCACTGGTCTTAATTCCCTCCCTTTTCTGTGTTGTGATTCTAAGCCTGTTTTTCTCTGGATTAGAGTATTTCCCTCTCTGATGCTTAGATGCTCTATGCTTGCTTTTGTTCCTGCCCCATCATTCCCTAGGTACTTTCTAGTTACAATGTCATGGACAGACTACAGGGAAAGAGCATTGTGATACTGTCTCTTTGTGAGTTCTTTTAGGCATCACTGCTTTCTGTATTCCTTATTCTCCAGGCTATGGGGACTTAATCAAGATTATATATGGTAAATTGTGATTTTTTTTCAATCCAAACTGACACCCCTCGTCAAAGAAATTCACCATATGAGTTAACAGTCTTACCTTAGTTTAAAAGTAAAATATGGATAAAGAATTTAAAACTTTTAAAGAAAAACAAATGCTTATTGTATTAATTAAATTGGTAAATTGTCATGTGCTTTTTGAGCTCACTGAAGCTGACTCTGGAGATGGTATTGGCCCTCCCACTTCAGACTCAAGCCTATTATCTCAAGATATGTTCTCCAAGACTCCTTTCCAGGTTCAGGCTGGCCCCCTGACCCTGTGACAAGAAAAAGGGGAACAACAAAAGAGCCTAAGAGTAAAGGCATTGTGCAGTTAAAAACACCTAAGATGTAAACTAATTTCAAAAAACGGTATTGCTGTGTATAACAAAAGTAGTTAATGGGATTCTCTATTTGGTCACAATACTGAGTAAAGTCACTACTACAGACTAATGTAAATGTATAAAAAAATACAAAGATAAATTTAACTAATGAAAAAAAAAGATTTTTTTAAAAAAGAGACAATTCACAGTTGATGGACAGAGAAGATCATCTGCCCAGAATTCCTCTGTCAGTAACTAAAGCACGGCAGTTTTCTTAGACTGGTTATGCTGGATGTTATGAACATCAATTTGATAATGTTTAACTATGTACCAGTTGCTTCTTTCTACCTAAAGCAAGGTTTTGGCAGACCACTCTCTAAACTACATAAGGTAAAAAATGATTTTTAATTGGTTTACCTAAAAACTTATAAAACACAGTATGTACATGGGTAATATTAACTTATCTTATGTATATAATTTAGATTTCATGTTCTTTTAATAAGATGATGCTATGCACTACTTTCTTCTCAGTCCAACAACTACCATCTTCATGACTTCAACTGTGTCCACTAACAAAAGATCATCATAATTGGACTTGTTGACTTAACTATTGTACTCTTTAATTAAAGGAGGAGGGGTAAACAGGGTCATTGGACCCTCACCTGAGTATCCAGATGCTCTTCCCAGCCAACTGTATGTAATTTGGCCCTAATCACATATGGTCTCCAGGGTTTGGGGAGGACTAAAGTATATTATCTGGGGAAAGCTAGAAAGAAAATGATTGCTCCATACAGGGTTAAGGCTTTCCAATATACTGTCAGGTCACCCATACATATCAGTAAGCCCTCAGTCATCTCTATAAGTAAGCTCAGTAAATTTATTGGTTTCCCCTCGCAAAAAAAACTTAACTGTAATCAAACATTGGTTTGATACTACAACCTAAAAAGCGGATAAACATTGCTTAGTATCCCCAGGAAAAAAATTCTCACAATAGACAAAAAATTTATTTGTTAATGTTATTATGCCTCATGGTTATAAAAAAAAAAACATAAAAGATGTTAAAAGGACATAAAAATGGAGATATTTTATTAAAAAGGTTTTATATGTAAAAGCTAAAAATAAAAAAGCCTAAACAAATGATAGAGATCTATATAGGTTTATTAAT